TTTTAGACAGAGTTTCACTCTTGTTGCCCAGGCTGCAGTGAGTGCAATGGCACAATCTCGGCTCACCGCAACCTCTGCATCCCAGGTTCAAGCGATTCTACTGCCTCAGCCCTCCAAGTACCTGGGATTACAGGCATGTGCCTCCACACCCGGCTAATTTTGTATTTTTAGTAGAGATGGCGTTTCTCCACGTTGGTCAGGCTGGCCTCGATCTCCTGATCTCAGGTGATCTGCCTGCCTCAGCCTCACAAAGTGCTGGAATTACAGGTGTGAGCCGCTGTGCCTGGCCTCAGAATTTTTATATTTCAAATTATATCTACTGAATTATTTAGTGAAAGAAATTTGCATTGCTTTCACCTATTAGCTTACAGTAACAATGCTGCTATAATTAGGAGTATGTAAATGACTCCTTATATGATAATCTATGTAAAAGTTTATATACGTGCTGCATTCTATTTTATAGTCTACTTATTTACCTTTATGTTCATACCAAATTGTTTTAATTCTGTAGCTTTGTAGCATGTTTTGAATTAAGAACTTTAATGCCTCCAGCATTTTTTTTTTTAAGTTTCCTGGGTACTTTATTGTCTCTTGAGCTTCTATATACTTTTGGGGTTGCTGTTTCTGTTTCTTCAAAAATGCAATGAGGAATTTGGAAAACGTTGCATTAAATATGTAGATTGCATTGAGCAGGATGGACCTCTTCACAATTTAACTATTTCAATCTCTGCATAAGAGCACACTCAGTAATGTGTTGTTTAATTTCTGTGTATTTGTAAATTTTTCAGTTTTTTTCTCTTGTCGTTGTACACTCTCCATTTTGGTCATAGAAAGTAGTTCATAAAATTTTACTTTTAAACATTTTGAAGGCTGGGTGCCATGGTTCACACCTGTAATCACAGCAGTTTGGGAGGCCGAGGCAGGTGGATCACCTGAGGTTGGGAGTTTGAGACAGCCTGACCAACATGGAGAAACCCTGTCTCTACTAAAAATACAAAATTAGCCAGGCGTGGTTGCGCATGCCTATAATCCCAGCTACTTGGGAGGCTGAGGCAGGAGGATAGCTTGAACCTGGGAGGCAGAGGTTGTGGTGAGCCTAGATCGTGCCATTGCGCTCCAGCCTGGGCAACAAGAGCAAAACTCCATCTCAAAATAAATAAATAAATAAAAATAAAAATTTTGGTAAGATTTCCTTTTTGGCGTAAGATGTAGTCTATCAAGGAAAACATATGAGCTATTGAGAAGGGTGTGTATTCTGATGTTGTTAAGGAGTGTTCTCCATAGCTTTGTTTGGAGTAATTGTTTTATACAACCTTTAAGTAGTCTGTTCCCTTGTTAACGTTCTTTCTTGTTTTAGTTTTTGTTACAGAAAATGTATTATTAAAATATCTTCATCTAATTATATTGCTTTCTTTGTGTTTCTTCCTTTCTACTAATTTGCTTTATGTATTTGGAACCCTAATGTGAGACACACACACACATACACACACACACACACACACACACACAGATTTCTCATAGGTTTCCAGTGAATTAATCTATGTTTTTTGATGTCCTTCTTTGTTTCTTTGGAGTTTCGATGTCAAGTATATTTTATGAAATATTATGCTTTTTGACTTAAGATGTAGCTTGTGTATGATTATTTTTACTGTTTCTGCTCTCATTTGATTAATGTTTGCATGGAATGTCTACTTCCATCCTGCCACTTCCAATCTTTTTTAATCATTAGATTTATTTTATTTATTTTGTTTTTTTGAAACAGAGTTTCACTCTTTTACCCAGGCGGGAGTGCAGTGGCGTGATCTCCGCTTACTGCAACCTCCGCCTTCCGGTTTCAAGTGATTTTTCCACTTTAGTCTTTCGAATAACTAAGATTTCAGGTGCCTGCCACGACACCTTGCTAATTTTTGTATTTTTAATAGAGACGGGCTTTCACCATGTTGGCCAGGCTGGTCTTGAACCCTTGACCTTGTCATCCATCTTTCTCAACCTCCCTAAGTGCTGGGATTACAGACGTGAGCGACTGCACCCGGCCTTAAAATTAGATCTCAACTGACTCTTGTAGAAAGGCAAAATGTATCTCGGCTTTTTAAAATGTTTTAATAAATCTATTTATTGAAAGTATGTCTCAATTTAAAAGTTAATTTTCTATATATTTAATTTTCTGAAACAAACTTTGTTATTTTATTAAGCATTTTATTTGATTTTTACGTCTGTGTCTCTCATTTATTCTTCTTCCATTGTTGTCTTTTTGAAGATTGTATTTATATGCTTTCATTGTTTTCTTTTCTCTTTTTTTTTTCTTTTTGAGGTGAAGTTTCACTCTTGTTATCCAAGTTGGAGCGCAATGGCGTGATCTCAGCTCACCACAACCTCCGCCTCCCGGATTCAAGTGATTCTTTTGCCTCAGCCTCCCGAGTAGCTAGTATGACAGGCATGCGCCACCACACCTGGCTAATTTTGTATTTTTAGTAGAGACAGCGTTTCTCCATGTTGATCAGGCTGGTCTTGAACTCCTGACCTCGGGTGATCCACTCACCTCGGCCTCCCAAAGTGCTATAATTACACGTGTGAGACACTGCACCCAGCCTCTTTTGTGTATTTATAGAAATATTTTTGTGGTACCTTGGGCATTACATATAACCTCTAAAAGATACAACAATTTATTTTAATCTGGCAAAAAATAAATAAATAAATAAACTTAAGTTGCATACAATTTTTTTTTTTTTTTTTTTTTTGAGATGGAGTCTCACTCTCTCACCCAGGCTGGAGTACAGTGGTGTATCTCAGCTTACTACAATCTTTGCCTCCAAGGTTGAAGTGATTCTTCTGCCTGAGCCTCCTGAGTAGCTGGGAATACAGCCATGTGCCACTATGCCTGGCTGATTTTTCCTTTTTTAGTATAGACGGGGTTTCACCATGTTGGCCAAGGTGGTCTCAATCTCTTGACCTCATGATCCACCCGCCTCGACCTCCCAAAGTGCTGGGATTACAGGCATGAGCAATTACACCCAGCCTGTTTTGTGTATTTATACAGATATTTTTGTGGTACATTGGTGATTACATATAACCTGTAAAAAATACAATAATATATTTTAATCTGGCAAAAAAAAAAAAGCTGTATACAAAAATTCTTTTTTATTACATCATCTCTAAAACTTGTCATTTATGTTGCTATTTATATCTTTTATATTGTATATTCATTAACAGATGTTTATAATGATTTCTCTGCTTTTATCTTTCAAATTTCAGAGAATAATTAAAAATGTTTTGTGCACCACTAGGATAATGCTAAGAAATTCTACTTTTGTGTATTTGCATATATATTTGTTGAGCTTCTTTTTTTGTTTGTTTGAGACAGAGTCTGCCTCTGTTGCCCAGGCTGGAGTGCAGTGGCACGTTCTTGGCTCAGTACAAGCTCAGCCTCCCAGGTTCATGCCATTCTGGTGTCTCAGCCTCCCGAGTAGCTGGGATTGCAGGCACCCACCACCACGCCCGGCTAATTTTTTCTATTGTTTTAGTAGCGATGGGGTTTCACCATGTTAGCCAGGATGGTCTCGATCTCCTGACCACATGAGCCGCCTGTCTTGGCCTACCAAAGTGTTGGGATTACAGGTGTGAGCCACCGCCCCCCAGCCAAAACCTCAACAGAGCTCCTTTATTTTTACATCGTTTTTTTCTAACTTTTAGGATCTTTTAGTTTCCTTTTGTATTTTTTACATCCACAGTTTCTGTCTTTTTTTGAAATGTTAAATATTTTTGTTCTCGTCCTCATTTTTCTGATTTTCCATACTTGTCTCTGTTCTTGTTTTAATCAGTATTCAATTTATTAACAATTCTTAAAATTAATGTATAAATCTTAGTTTTTTATATTTCAGAAAATTTTATGATATTTTTGATGGGATGATACTGCCCTATTTTGTATATATTATAAGCTTTCAGTTTTTTACATTAAAAAAACTACCTGTCAAAATTTTTATAATGTAGCTCCTGGCATAGTCTGAAAACAATAATCTTGGCTCGTGATTATGGGAGTTTTTCAGACATATTCTTAGGACCTGTGTTGCCTGAAATTTTGTGTTTATTTTTTAGTTAGCGTTTATTCATGTTACTTTGTAGGAGTCAGTAATCACTTGCTACACTTGTTCCTTTTCTGTGGTACTGCAGTCTCGCTGCTGCTGGAACATTTTTCTTTGATCTCAGCAGACTCAAACTCTCATTCCAAAGTATACCACCATTTCTGTCAGCACTTTATGTCATGAGAGACAGAAAACAGTGTCAGGAAAAGCCCCTAAAAGCCAGAAATGACAATGAATGTGACAGTATCTTACCTTTCTTTTAAAACAGAAATCAAGAGTTTGCAATTTACTTCTAAGGCACTATGTTATAGTGGGAAGCAGGAAAAGCTGTGTTGGGTAAATTTAGACTTTTCTTTTTCTTCTATGTGGTTTTTTGCATTGTGCTCATCTGGAACACTGCACACACTTAACTGATTTATAAATTTCCCACAGATGTATTTTGGTTTGTATGTTTTTCTTACATTTAAATGTCTGTGAAAGAATTAGGGTCTGTGGTATTTTTGCAAAACCATCTTGTTTATGTAGGTTGTATAATTTTATAGGTAAGATTTTTTTTTTTTTTTTTTTGAGATGGAGTCTCGCGCTGTGTCACCCAGGCTGGAGTGCAGTGGCGCGATCTCGGCTCACTGCAAGCTCCGCCTCCCAGGTTCACGCCATTCTCCTGCCTCAGCCTCCGAGTAGCTGGGACTACAGGCGCCCGCCACCACGCCCGGCTAGTTTTTTGTATTTTTAGTAGAGACGGGGTTTCACCATGTTAGCCAGGATGGTCTCGATCTCCTGACCTCGTGATCCACCCGCCTCGGCCTCCCAAAGTGCTGGGATTACAGGCTTGAGCCACCGCGCCCGGCTAGGTAAGATTTTTAAACTATATTTATGTCAGTATAGTAAGTGGAGTAAATTATTTTAATTTTTTTTTTCCAGGTATATGTCCTCATATTGCTCAAGACATTTGGCCAGAGCAGGGCATGGAAGATTCTTTTCAAAAAGTAATACTAAGAAGATTTGAAAAATGTGGACATGAGAACTTACAGTTTAGAAAAGGTTGTAAAAGTGTGGATGAGTGTAAGGTACACAAAGAAGGCTATAATGGACTTAACCAGTGTTTCACAACTACCCAGGGCAAAGTGTCTCAATGTGGTAAATATATGAAAGTCTTTTATAAATTTATAAATTTAAACAGATATAAGATAAGACATACTAGAAAGAAACCTTTCAAATGTAAAAATTGTGTCAAATCATTTTGCATGCTTTCACACAAAACCCACCATAAAAGCATTTATACTACAGAGAAGCCATACAAATGTAAAGAATGTGGAAAAACCTTTAATTGGTCCTCAACCCTTACTAATCATAAGAAGCCTCATACTGAAGAAAAGCCCTACAAATGTGAAGAATATGGCAGAGCTTTTAATCGATCCTCAAATTATGCTACACATAAGATAACTCATACTGCAGAGAAACCTTACAAGTGTGAAGAATGTGGCAAAGCATTTAGCCAATCCTCCACACTAACCATACATAAGAGGATACACACTGGAGAGAAACCCTGCAAATGTGAAGAATGTGGTAAAGCATTTAGCCAACCCTCAGCCCTAACCATACATAAGAGGATGCACATTGGAGAGAAACCCTACAAATGTGAAGAATGTGGCAAAGCATTTGTATGGTCCTCAACCCTAACTAGACATAAGAGGCTGCACACGGGAGAGAAACCCTACAAATGTGAAGAATGTGCCAAAGCTTTTAGACAGTTCGGACACCTTACTACACATAGGATAATTCATACTGGAGAGAAACCCTACAAATGTGAAGAATGTGGTAAGGCATTTATATGGCCCTCAACCCTAAGTAAACATAAAAGGATTCACACTGGAGAGAAACCCTTCAAATGTGAAGAATGTGGCAAAGCTTTTCACCGATCCTCAAATCTTACTAAACATAAGATAATTCATACTGGAGAGAAGCCTTACAAGTGTGAAGAATGTGGCAAAGCATTTATATGGTCCTCAAACCTTACTGAACATAAGAAAATTCATACTAGAGAGAAACCCTACAAATGTGAAGAATGTGGTAAAGCATTTAGCCGATCCTCAGCCCTAACTACACATAAGAGAATGCACACTGGAGAGAAACCCTACACATGTGAAGAATGTGGCAAAGCTTTTAGCCAATCCTCAACCCTTACTGCACATAAGATAATTCATACTGGAGAGAAACCCTACAAATGTGAAGAATGTGGCAAAGCTTTTATATTGTCCTCAACCCTATCTAAACATAAGAGGATTCACACTGGAGAGAAACCCTACAAATGTGAAGAATGTGGCAAAGCTTTTAGTCAATCCTCAAATCTTAGTACACATAAGATAATTCATACCGGAGAGAAACCTTACAAGTGTGAAGAATGTGGCAAAGCGTTTAATCGATCCTCAAATCTTGCTACGCATAAGATAATTCATACTGGAGAGAAACCTTACAAGTGTGACGAATGTGGTAAATCATTTATCTGGTCCTCAACCCTTTTTAAGCATAAGAGAATTCATACTTGAGAGAAACCTTAAAAAGGGTAAAGCATGTGGGAAAGCATTTATAAGTTTCTCAACCCTTACTGAACATGAGATAATTCATACTAGAGAGAAACCCTACAAATGTGAAGAATGTGGCAAAGCACGTATATGGTCCTCAACGCTAAACATAAGAGGATGCACACTGGAGAGAAACCCTACAAATGTGAAGAATGTGAAAAAGCTTTTAATCCTCAAATCTTACTAAACATTAGATAATTCACACTGGAGAGGAACCTTACAAGTGTGAAGAATATGGGAAAGCTTTTAATCGATTCTCAAATCTTACTACACATAAGATAATTCATACTGCAAATAACCCCTACAAATGTGAAGAATGTGGCAAAGCATATGATCCTCACCCCTAAGTAGACGTAAGAGGATGCACACTGGAGAGAAACCTTACAAATGTGAAAAATGTGGCAAAGCCTTTAAATGTTCCTCAACTCTTACTAAACATAATTCATACTGAAGAGAAACCTTAAAAATGTGAAAAATGTGGCAAAACCTTTAAGCAGTCTTCAATCCTGAGTAACCATAAGAGAATTCAAACTGGAGAGAAACCCTGCAAATCTGAAGAAATGTGGGAAATCTTTTAACCTGTCTTCAACCTTTATTAAACATAAGATAATTTCATACTGGAGTAAAACCCTACAAATGTGAACAATGTGGCAAAGTGTTTTTCTAGTCCTCAGCCCTAACTAAACATAAAAAAAATCATGCTGGACAGCAACCCTACAAATGGGAAAAAATTGGCAAAGCCTTTAACCAGTCCTTACATCTCACTACAGATAAGATAACTCATATTGGAGAGAAATCTTACAAGTGTGAATAATATGGAAAGCCTAAAAAAGTCCTCAATTCTTAACAGATATAAGATTATTCATACTGAAGACAAACTGCAGATCTGAAAGATGTGCCAATGCTTTTGACAGCACCTCAGACTTTTCTAAACAAAGAAAATCATACTCCTGACAAATCCTAGAAATGTGAAGAATGTGACAAAGACTTTAAATGATTGTCAACAATTGATTGTGGGTAAGATAATTCATACTGGAAAAAACTACCACTGTGAACAATGTGGCCAAGCTTCTAACCAATGCTTACAGCTTATTGCACCAGAAAGCGTTTATATTTGAAAACAAATGTACAAATATAGACAAAGTAAAAAAACCATTAATACCTGCTCACATCTTACTCAAAATCAAAGAGTTCATACTAAATAAAAGCATTAAAAGTCTAATTACCATCAAAAGATAAGAACGTATGTCTTTAAAGTGCAGAAGAGTATTTATTTTGAAAAAGCATTACAAATATGAAGAGGGTTGTAATACCTTTACTTGTATCACAGAGCTTATTGTACACATTTTGTACTAGAGGAAAACCCTGAGGCAGTTATTAACATTTTGTTCAGTATCAGGGAGTTTATATTGAAGAAAACCCTACAAATATGCTGAATTTGGAAAAACATTTTTTCAAAAACTACAAATTATAAAACACCAAAGAGTTCATACTAAAATATATTTTTGCAGATGCATTAAATATGAAAGATGTTCAATCCAAAATTAAGTCTATGTAAATATCAGGGAATAATTCACAGTAGAAATATCTAGGGCACTCAAACTTTAGACATTACACTAAATCAGAGTGCTGAGTGTAGGAAATAATACAAACTAAAGTTCATGTAAGCGTTAATTGTGTATAACTTTAAAAGAAGTAGAATTTTTTTGGAGAGTTATAATTACATTCAAAGTATACTTTTTTTTTGAAAATACAGAATTTTTTAAAAGCGAATAATAATGGAGCTAAACTCTTAGATTACTTCATGCTGTTTCACCATTCCTAGTGTATTCACATGTGAAAACGTGACTAATTGTTGCTGCATAAAAGATATGAGAGATTCTTTTTTATTAGGTAGGTATTATTTATGACCTTTTCTATGGAAAGGTAAGGACCTTAAAATGTAAGATACATGATGAAAATTTAAGTAAAGAGGCTCTTTGGGTTAACATAATACTGAGTTATGCATGAGGTAGGTGTTCAGAGTAATATTTTTCTGCGTCATTATGAAAGAAAAGCTTTCTTATTTAGTTAACATTAAGTTAGTAATATTGTACTTTTATGGAATAATATACATTATATTTTAAAATTATAAATTATGTGTGAACTTTTTAATTCAGCATTTTTAACATGGTAAATACTATCGTGAATTCATTGAAGCATTATGCCACTAA